CCAACCCTTTATACTGCAGGGTCTTCCTATTAACTTGTGAGGCCGAGACTTGTCACAGATGAGTCTTTTACTGTTCAGTCCGAATGACATAGTCACTGCACAAATGCTGGCCCAGGGTTATACATCAGGAAAAAGGCTTGGGGAAAAATGAGTCAGGCATTATTCAACCCCTACTGCCTGAGCTTAAACTGGATAGAGCCAGACTGGGAAATTTTCCCTAGCGGTCATTGACATTCCTGTCCCTCACGTGCGGATCAAATCACTTCGAAAGATGATGCTCTGATGTGGGTTGATCAATGGCCTCTGCTTTCAGAAAAGCTCCAGGCTGCTCAATTGTTAGTACAGTAACAATTTGAATCAGGACACATTGTGGAGAGCACCTCTAAATGGAATACCCCCATATTTGTTATCAAGAAAAGATCTGGAAAATGGTGATTACTCCAAGATTTAAGATCAATCAACAAAACCATGGTTCCAATGGGGGCCCTTCAGCCTGGGCTACCATCTCCAGTAGCCATACCCCTTAATTTCTTTAAAGTAGTTATTGACCTCCAAGATTTTTTTTTTTTACTATTCCCCTACATCCTTTAGATCGAAAAAGATTTGCCTTTAGTATTCCATCAACTAACTTTAAAGAACCAATGAAACATTATGAGTGGTGGGTCCTGCCTCAGAACATGGCCAATAGCACTATGCTTTGCCAAAAATATGTTTCAGCCTCTATATATCCGGTCAGACACAAATGGACCGATATGTATATTGTTCATTACATGGATGATATATTAATTGCCAGTGAGAGCGGTCAATTGATTTTACAGTGTTTCCAGGACCTTAAAGAACAATTATCTGCCGTGAATTAAAAATTGCCCTGGAAAAGATCCAGCTAAAAGACTCATATACCTACTTAGGACTTCAACTCTCTGGTCAAAAAATCCTAACCCCAAAACCTCAATTCAGACTTGATAATCTAAAAACTCTAAATGATTTCCAAAAATTATTGGGTGACATTAACTGGATCCGCCCGTATCTTAAACTAACCACAGGACAACTTAAACCACTATTCGACATCCTACAGGGGGATCCCTATTCCAGTTCACATCGGCCATCAGGCACTCGCCTTAGTCAAGCATGCCATTGTATCACAATTCATTACAGCCATTGACTACAAACAACCATTGTCTCTTGTCATCTGCCGTACTTCAATTACACCTACAGCCGTCTTCTGGCAATCGGCACCTATCATGTGGGTCCTCCTTTCATCTTCACATCCAAAGTTATATATCCATACTACCAGGCTGTGGCTGATATCATCACCCTATCACGAAAATTGAGCATCACTTACTTTGGCAAAGACCCTGATGCCATCATTCAGCCATACACAAAACCACAGGTAGACTGGTTATTAAAACAAACGGATTCTTGGCCTATAGCATGTGCCTCTTTTCTGGGAACCATTGATAACCACCTTCCCCCTAACAAACTCTTGCACTTCCTCTGCACCCACACTTTTGTTATCCCTGTCCGCACTTCTCTACATCCTCTTCCAGATGGCATGACTGTTTTCACTGATGGCTCCTCCAATGGAACTGCCTCTTATTCCATCTTGGACCACACAGTTTCATTCACCACATCTTCTACGTCAGCTCGGTTAGTTGAACTACATGCAGTTATTTGCAGTCTTCACTGCTTTTCCAGATACACCTTTGTATTTATTTACAAACAGTGCTTATATTGCTATGTTTGTTCCACTTCTGGAGACTGTGGGTCAGATTAAGCCAAACCCTCAGAGCACACAGTTTTTCCTGCAATTGCAGTCTCTCATCAGGATGCAAGAGTCACCTTTTTCTATCAGCCATTTACGCACGCACACTGACTTGCCTGGGCCCTTAACTGAAGGCAACGGCCATGCTGATCTTGCCAGAAGACATTCCTTTTTAATACAAACTCAGACTGACACAAACCTTTCAGATGCCACTGCTGCTCATCAATTACATCACTTAAACTCCCACACCCTCCGCTTTATGTTTAAGATTACTCGAGAACAAGCATGACAAATAGTCACACAATATCCAGCGTGCATTACTCTTTTGCCTTTCCCACATTTCGGTGTCAACCCTAGAGGTCTCCTGCTTAATGCCCTGTGGCAGATGGATGTCACTCATATTCCTGAATTCAGCTCTCTGAAATAAGTTCATGTCATTATTGACACATTTAGTGGTTTTCTTTTTGCCACAGTGCAAACTGGAGAGTATGGTAAACATGTTATCTCCCATGTCCTCTCCGCACTCTCCGTTATGGGTGTATCTCAACACATTAAAACCAACAACGGTCTGGGTTATGTGGGAAACAATTTTGCCTCCTCTGTAAACAGCTCCGTATCAGACATACTACAGGAATTCCATACAACCCCCAGGGACAGGGCATTGTTGAACGTGCTCATCTTTCCTTGAAAAGTACTCTCCAAAAGGTGAAAAAGGGACAGCTCTTACAGACTAAGGGCTTGCCCAAAAACCTTCTGGCATATACTCTTTTTGTCCTAAATTTCCTGTCTCTTGATAAAAATGGAGACTCAGCCACTGAGCACTTCTGGCATTCAACTACCAAAACAAATTTGCCTCAGTCTTGTGGAAAGATCCTCTGGATAATACATGTCATGGTCCAGACCCCGTCCTTATTTTGGGAAGAGGATCTGTTTGCATTTACTCCCCAAAATTGGAGGATGCGTGATGGCTTCCAGAGAGACTATTAAAACAGGTTGACTCTCCATCCAGGGAGCCTGAGTCCCCTGAGAACTCTCTCTCTTCCTCTACAGGACTCCCTGACCACCAGGAATCGCCCAAGGATGACGACTGTGATGCTTCCTGCCCTCCTCCTCCTCTCTTTCCTTGAAGTAACCTTTGGGGGATTTGGAGACCCTGTGGCACTTGCCAAGCTTTGCCAGCAGCTTTTGCCATGCGGCTGCTCCGGTGGCAATCCTTCCTCCATCCACTTCCAACCCATTATGACACATCAATGCACAAGGGCTATCACCTCATTCTTTGACTCCACATCCCGCAAATATTTCTCTGTCAGAACGCCTGCCATCTCCTCCTCTCAGAAGCCCCCCCATGCCCCTCTAAGACCTTTCAGACTTCGCTTTACCAATCTTGCTATGAGCAGGCATCCACATGCGTTTCAGGTAACCACACCTATTTCACAGCTACCCAAACCCGTACCTTCTCGGGGTCCTTTAATCACTTGAGCCTACAGATGCCCTGCACTCAGGGTAACTTAGGAAAAGAACTTTGTTGGTACACTCAAGCCCCCGTTCACATCTCAGATGGAGGCGGGCCCCAGGACCGCCTTAGACAACACAAGACACAAAAACAATTAGAAGCTCTTAACCCTTCTGTTTCCTACCATCCAGTTGTTCTCCCCAAGCCAAAAGACCAACCACTCGATTCCAATGCCTATAATCTTCTGGAGCTCGCTCATGCCCTTATAAACACTTCTGCTCCTGACATCGCACAAAATTGCTAGCTCTGCCTCCCCCATCAAAACACTGTCCCCTATGCACTCCCTTCACACTTCTCACCATTTTTCAATGACCTTATTAATTGCTGCTTTTCCTCACCCTTCTTTGTCCAGCCTCTCTTCCCCGTCAATGTCTCCCGTGTTATCTCTAACTCAACCGACAATTCTTCTGCTTCCCTTGGTTTCCTCTCCTTTTCTAACTGCACCACCTCACTAAACTTCACCTCCACTCTTTCATCCAAACTTTCCCGCCCCGCCCCCCATAACTCTGTTTTTGTCTGTGGCAATAATATGGCTTATATCGCTCTTCCCTCTTCCTGGACCGGATCTTGCACTCTTGCTATTCTCCCACAGATTGAGGTCATTCCTGGAGATGAACCTGTCCCCATTCCATCCCTCTATTTTATTGCAGGAAGACCCACACAAGCTGTCCAACTTATCCCCATCTTTGCCACCTTGGGATTCACTGTAGCTGCCACCGCGGGCTCCACAGGCCTGCGTTATTCCCTTCAACTTAAACAGGTTACAGAAAGATTGATCTCTGATGTCCAGCAGCTTGCATCCACTATCTCCCTTATCCAGGATCAGCTAGATTCCCTCGCAGAGGTGGTTCTACAAAATCGCAGGGGTTTGGACCTCTTACTTGCAGAGCAGGAAGGTCTTTGTCTTTCCCTGAAGGAACAGTGCTGCTTTTACACCAACAAGTCTGGCGTTGTCCGTGAATAAGATCCATGACCTCCAAGAAGCCCTAAGGAACTGCTGATGACAACTGGCTGACAACCCCCTTCTAACTGACTGGCATGGATTCTTGCCCTTTTTGCTCCCTATAATTGGACCAATTCTCGGGCTACTAATTGTCTGCTCCCTGGGACCAGTCATTTTCCCAAGACTGAAAACATTTATCAGTCAACAAGTTACCTCCCTCCTTTCTCGGCCTATTCAGGTCCATTACCCTAGACTGGAGATGCATGATATTGACCAACATCATAATCTGACCTGAGGCACTGAGCTGGTTAGCCAATGACGGGTAAGAGAGTCTAGCCGACCTTTTGCCACTTCCTCCACCTAAGACAGGACACTCATCTTGCTGTCGGTGGTTCCCATGACAGGTAACCGAGGACGTTCGGCTAATAAGACTCCAACCTAAGACAGGCACAGCTCCCCCTGGTTCCCAGTCTATAAAACAGAGAAGGGGGACATGTAGGAAGCCACATGCACCAAAATGGCCGACATGACCTTCATACAAGAACCTTCAAGTATCCTTGTAGAGTAGACAATTCACCCTGAGACTTCCTCATTCAGGCAGGTCCTCAGTCAGGTCCATGACAATTCCCACCCCCTTTTTACCTCACCTCCTGGCTTTACCCTTTAACGCAGCAACCAATCGGTGGTTGTAGAGTTGCATCCCTCATTGTATGAACAATCAGCTTCCTACCCTGTGTATATAAGAATGTTCTCTGGCCCTCAATAAATGAGCAACAGCATACCATCTTGAGCTGTGACACTGTGTCGCTCCCATGTTGTGACGCTGCGCCTGTTCCAGACCTCCACTCTCTTACTCAGGCACCCTGCTCGATTGTCCTGTGGGCCGGGACACACACCAAGTTAGTGAGCATGCATAGCAAACGTCCTGAGAGGAGAATGGAGGACAAGGGATTGCAGTGTAGTCATCCCTTCTGGGGGTGATTTTTCACTTTCCTTCTCTCTCCTTCTGGTGAGGATACATGCACCCTCTTGTAACAACTTTTTTTAAAAAACAGTATAAAAAGAGTCAGAGGCCATAGTGTATTAAAAAGATTAATTCACCAAGAAGATATAAAAATCATAAAACTTAATGCATTCATCATCAGAAAGGAAGACTGCTAGATATGAACAGAAAGACTGATTATGACGTGCTAATTCATGTGGACTTCAACACTGTACTGTCACCTCTGGACAGATTATTTAGACAAAAAGATAAAAAGACTCAGAACATAAATGATCCAATAATCCAAATAAACTAATCAACATTTACAGAAGATTTTGCCAAAAACAAAATACATATTTTTCTCAGCCACACATAGAATATTTCTGAAGACTGACCACATAATAGAGAAAAAAATAAGTCTTTAAAACTAAAAAGAAAACAAAAATTATATATACCACCTTATTTGTTACCATATATGATAAAATTAAACTAGAACAGAAAGTACTTTCAAAAATTCACAAATACATGAAAATGACATAATTTACCCTGAGTAGCTTCAAAATTACTGAATAAATTAAGAATACAAATGAAAACTTCTTGAAACAAGTAATAATTTAATCACAACTCTCCACATGCTTTCAAACATATCAAAAGCACTCCTAAGAGAGAAGTCTACAGCAATTAGCACTCACACATACACATTTTAAAAAGATGATAAATAGGGGGCCAGTTGGTGTAATGGCTATGATGCTGGACTCCCATGCAGTTGACCGCAGTTCGAGTACTGGACCCTGTGGATTAAACTCACACCGATCGTGTGTGTATGTGTGCCCAAGATCTCGAGAGGAAAATGGAGAAGGGATTGTGGCATGGCCATCCCCCCTGGGGGGTGACTTCTTGCTGTCTCTGTCTCTCTCATCTTTCTGGTGACTGCACGTGCCCTACAGCAAAAACCTCTCCAAAGAAAAAAAGAATGATCCAGTCTTAATCTGCTATGAACAGTGTGAAATGCCAACGTATTCCTGAGCAAGAAAGTTCTATAAGTTCTCTAAAACCACATTTGAAGTTGAAAAAAACTAGTCATCTTTTGAGAACAGTTTCATGGCTACATAGGATTTTGTCAGAATGAAGATGTGATAAAGCAGCGTTGTACTAATATTAAATGTCAGCCCACAGAGCTAATAATACCTCAGTGTAATGTCCTTGGCAGGTGAAATTCATCCCAAGGGAAAGTGTAATAGCCTTTTGCTAACTATTTTCTGTTTTCCCTATAGTGGTTAAGCATGACCATGTCTTCTTTAAAGCCTTACCTGAGAGAAGCAATGCCTTAAAATTTAAAAAAAAAAAGCATTAACAACATCAAACTATACACAAAATGACCTTACTCTGTACTTTGCCCTCATGAGTGTGAATGTTTTGTGAAGACATACAGATGCTGCTCAGTGAATTGTAGAAAAATATTACAAGAATCATGTTGGGAATATTTAGGACAACTGAAGGAAAACTGGAGAAAAAGAAAAGCAAGTAAACTTGAACACTGAAGCAATCTTAAACATCTATTTATTTTTATGATATATTTTTGTAAGGAAAATAAATATTCACATGATCAGCAATGTATATAACTAAATGAGTTGAGAAAAGACATCATAACAGCATACATTTAAGAAGACAGAATTATAAAATCATATACCAGTCTTAGAGTGGAGCTAAGTGAAGTGCTGAAATACTGCAAAAGATAGGTGATAACATGGACTGTCTCTCACTATAAATATGCGTGGGTATGTTTCAAATAGGATTACTAACAAAAAAATTATTTAATCAGTAATAAATCATCTTCCAACAAAGAAAAGTGCAGGTCCCAATGGTTTCACTTCTGAATTGTACAAAACATTGAAAGAAGAGATAACTTCCATTCTACTCAAATAATTTATAAAGATCCAAAAGGAAGAAATCCCCCCAAATTAATTTTAAAAAACCTCCATCACCCTCATCTCCAAAAGAGACAAAGATGTAACAAAAAAGGTCTGATTAATATAAATACAAATCTTCTCAACAAGATACTAAGAAATTATATGTAATAACACTTTAAAAATATTATACACCACACCGCATCCAGGTAGGCTTTATTCCGAGAATCCAAGGATGGTCCATATACACAAAATTATAAATGTAATACAGCATATTAACAGGAAAATGAATAAAAACATATGATAATATCAATCAATGCAGAAAAAGCATTTGATAAAACACAACATCCCTTCATGATTAATAAAAAGCAAAATCAGCATAGAAGTAACATTTCTCAACATAATAAAAGCCCTATATGAAATACTGATAGCTCACATCACACTGAATGGGGAAAAGGATTAAGCTTTCCACCTAAAACCTGGAACAAAACAAAGCTGCCCACTTTCTCCACTCCTTTTTCATGTATTACTGGAAGTCCAAGACAATAAAATCAGACAAATAACTACAATAGAAGGCATTGAAATAGGTAAAGAAGGTAAATTACTCCTATTTGCATATGACATGATTAAATACATAGAAAGGAATCCACATACACAGGGAAAGAAAAAAAAAAAAACTCCCCAAAATAATAAATGAATACTATAAACTGGCTGGATACAAAATCAACATGCAAAAGTCTGTAGCACGTCTGTACATGAAAAGGAGCAGACTGAGGTAGACTTGAAAAAGTTATCCCACTTACAAGAGCTGCAAAAAGCATACGATACCTAGGAATAAACCTAACCAAAGAAGTCAAAGACCTCTACAAGGAAAACTATGACAAACTTAAAAATGAATTTGAAAATGACATAAAGAGTAGAAAAAGAATCCCATGTTCCAGGATTGGAAGAATTGATATAATCAAAATGTCAATCCTACCCAAATTAATCTACAAATTTAATGCAACCCTTATCAAATTACCAGAGATATTCTACAGAGATTTTTTTGAAAGCATACACTTTGCCTAGAATCATTAAAGATACAGTATCATCAAAGCAATTCTGTTATAAGACATATTTTGAACATTATCTTTAAAATTCAGTATTTTGAAATTTTGAAAGTTGTTTGTAAACTGTCAAGAATTATGGAGTATGAGCTAACATTTTTTGCTATGTAAAGTAAATGTTTGTGGAAAAATGTAAAAATAAATGAAAGAAAAAAATAGAAAAAAAATTTAAAAATAAAAATAAAAATGGTTGGTCAAGGCGAGACTCCAAAATAAACGATAAAGTTGTAATAATCAAAACAGCATGGTATTGGCACAGAAACAGACAGGTGGGCTAAGAACAGAATAGAGACCCCAGATATAAACTACCTGGCCCCAAAATATATTATGAAGTTCTGATCATCAAAACAGCATGGTATTGGCATAAAAACAAACAATTGGAACCAAAATAAACCTCACAAATAAACCCCCAGACATATAGCCAACTGTTTTATAACAAAGGGCACTAGTCAATCTAATACAGAAAAGAAAACCTCTTTAGCAAATGGGGCTGGAAAAACTGGGCTTTGAACTGCAGAAACATAAATCTGGACCTGTATATCTCAACATAAATGAAAATTAAATCAAAATAGATCAGAGATCTAAACTCAAGACCTCAAACTATAAAATTACTGGTGAATAATGCAGGGGAAACTCATGAAGACATCAGCGTAGGTAAGGACTTATTCAATAAGACCCCCAAAACACAGGCAATAACGCTAAAAATTAACAAGTGCAAACATGTCATTCCAAAAGCATCTGCACAGCAAAAGAAAGAATTAGAGTGAATTGCCAACCCTTGAAGTGGAAAAATATATTTGCAAAATATGCCTCAGTTAGGGGTCTAATAACTAGTACAGGGAACTCTACTAGTGCACCTGAAAAAAAAAAAAGAAAAGAAAAGAAAAGAGTAGCCCAATTAAAAGATGGCCAAATGAGCTCAACCTCTCTAAAGAAAACATAAAAACAGTAAAAAAAAAATATATGAAAAATGCTGAACCTCTCTTATCACAAGGAATTTGCAAATCAAAACCACAGTGAGATACCACCTATCCCTAGTCAGAATGGCTAAGATTAAGAAAATAAACAATGACAAGTGCTGATGAGGTTGTGGTGAAAAGGAAACTCTCTACACTGTTGGTGGGAATGTAAATTAGTTCGGCCACTATGAACAATATGGAGGATTCTCAAAAACCTAGAAATAGAACTACTATGTGATCCAACACTTCCAGTCCTGAGGACCTATCCAAAGTTTAAGAATACATTCAAACAGAAAAGTACTTGCACATCCATGTTTACTGTGGCATTATTCACAATTGCTAAGATATGGAAATGATCCAAGCATCCACAAACACATGAACAGACTGAAAAAGGATGGCACATACATATTATCGAATACTACTCAATCATAAATATAAAAAACAAAACAAGGGGACCTTGGCAGGTGATAAAAAGTGGCTGAATATGAAAGATTTACTGCTAAGCAAAACAAACCAGAATATGAAAGAGAGGCATTTTGTCCCCACTCAATATATACTAATATCTGTACTGTATGGCAGAAACTGAAATATTAGAAGATATAAAAGCAAGAAGAGAAATTGTGGATACTAGAGACAGGGTCAGGGGAGATGGTGGAGGGAAAGGAGGGAATCAAGAGGCAAAAGAAAAAAGCAAAATATTTGAGGGAAACAAAAATGGAAAATTATTTGATGTTGATAATGTGTATGGCAATATCTTTAACTGAACTAATATTTAATATATTTATGCTGGAAAATTCATTTTGCATACTATAATAATATACAGTGTCTGCATATAAAAATTAATTAACCAGAAACAAATAAATAATACAGGTGACCTCTCCAAATGTCAAGGTTTTTATTTAATATACAGAAGAAAT